CCATTATTTGTCTCTTCTTCCTCTCTTCACTCTCATCTTCTTTCTCCCTTCCCAAGCTAAGCAAATTTAGAAAGTTTAAGAAACTCAAGCATCTATTGTGAATTCTAAGGTAAGATTTGCAATCTACAACTTCTAAGTTTTAATTCAACCTCTTTTTTGCAAGATTTGGCTTAAATACCCAAAAACTGGTTTAAGTGGGGGTTTATGAAACATTGAGTTTAAGCTAGTTTTGTGGGATTTGTGTGATAAGGAAACATTTTTAATTTTCTTTCTAAGGCTTAAAATGAGTTAGAAACTCATTAAACTTGTTTTGATTAGTGCAAGAGCAAGGTGAGAGCTCTAAGGCAAGAGGCAAGGAAAAACTCACTCTTGGGTAATTCAAGAACGTTTTTCAGTCACCTAGTAGCAAGGTAACATGTTTTTAACTTGACCATACCACTGTAGGTCATTGTATGTTCATTTATGGTTTTTTTAGTTCATGAAGCATGCTAGAGTAAATTCCATGGCAAGATCCATTTTTGTTGTTTGTAAGTATAAAAGTTGATAACTTTTGACCTTTAAGACCTCAAATAAGACTTAATTAAGCTTTGCTAGTCTTAGGGGAGTGTATGGGTGAGATTTGGACATATATTCGTGCCCAAAACGGGGTACTCAAGATCATTGGTATCGTTACTGTAATATATTGTTCTTAATGAAAGTAAAAAACAAGGAATTTTATAAAGGAAATAACGATACTCCATCAAAGGGTATCTATACTCGAGGTCAAGTATTGATACTCAGAGGGTAGTATCGATGCCGGTGATGAGTTTAGGAGTCTAGTAGTTATTTTTGGTACTGATATTCACATGTGTATCAGTACCATGGGTAGAGTATGATACTCCATAGGGAGTATCGATACCGAGGTATTTTTAAAAACATCAAAGCTATTTTTGGTATCGATCTTAGGGTGAGTATGTATACTCAAGGGTCAATATCGATACTGCAATCACAATATCGATACCATCACTATTTTTTTGGGTATTTTGGTTCATTTAATTTGGGGTTTGGGCTTGGATGTTCTGAGTTCGTATAAGCTTCAAGTATTTAGTACAAGTGAAAACAAACAAGAATACTGAAATCACACCTAGATTAGGGTTGACCATTTCGTTGGTCCCGTATGGCATCGTAATCCATAGATCTTTGGGTCGGACTGGATTAGGGTGCTACAATCTAAATTATTTTTTAAAATTATACCCAAAGTTTAATTTTTATTTCATTTTAGTACCTTATCTTAAAAAACTTATTGAGTTTAGTACCTAAACTAAAATGAAACAGGAATTAAAATTTTAGGTATTATTTTAAAAAAATTAAAAGTTTAGTTACTAAAATGGACTAAAATTAATAGTTTAAGTACTCAACATGTAATTTACCCTTACAAAAATAATAGTTTACATTTTTTTTAATTTGAAATTGTGAATTTTTAAATGAATTGATTGAATAGAATAGTATGATTAAAACACGTTACTCAAATTGGCCGCGTCAATTGGATAAGCAACCCAACCAAACAAATAAAAGCACCTCTCCTTCTCTAGAATTATCTAGCTTCATCCCCTTCTTTCTGTTTTCTTTCTTTCTCAATTGTTCACCACCTTCTACTCTAATCTCGATTTTTCTTCTTTTTCTCATTCTATATATATATATATATATATATATATATATATATACCCCACTCTGTTTCCACTGTGTCATAACAAAGTTCATCAAAGCAATTGTTTTAGATTCGGGAAAAAATCTTATTTTTCTTGCGTATATCTTTGTGCTGCTTGTTTTGAAGTTTCAATGGCGGCCAAATCTGAAGGAGGCAGAGCAATTGGGATTGATCTCGGGACGACGTACAGTTGTGTTGGGGTATGGCAGAATGATCGAGTCGAGATCATTGCCAACGATCAAGGCAACCGAACGACTCCGTCTTATGTCGCTTTCACCGATACCGAGCGTCTCATCGGTGATGCGGCCAAGAACCAAGTCGCTATAAACCCTCAGAACACCGTTTTCGACGCTAAACGTCTCATAGGTCGTCGATTCTCTGACCCATCGGTGCAAGCTGACATGAAACATTGGCCTTTCAAGGTAGTTGCCGGTCCTGCCGATAAGCCGATGATCGTGGTTAATTACAAAGGCGAAGAGAAACAATTCGCCGCCGAAGAGATTTCTTCCATGGTGTTGGTCAAGATGAAGGAGGTTGCCGAGGCTTACTTGGGGCAAACCATAAATAACGCTGTCATCACAGTGCCGGCTTATTTCAACGACTCGCAAAGGCAGGCCACGAAGGACGCCGGAGCCATTTCGGGGCTTAATATAATGAGGATTATCAATGAACCGACGGCTGCTGCGATCGCCTATGGTCTCGATAAGAAGGCGGGGAGTTCGGGCGAGAAAAACGTGTTGATTTTCGATCTGGGTGGTGGTACTTTCGATGTTTCGTTGTTGACGATAGAAGAAGGGATCTTTGAAGTGAAGGCACTCATCTGGGAGGTGAAGACTTCGACAACAGGCTTGTTAATCACTTCGTTCAAGAATTCAAGAGGAAACATAAGAAGGATATTAGCAGCAACCCAAGGGCTTTGAGGAGGCTGAGGACTGCATGCGAGAGGGCGAAGAGGACACTTTCATCCACTTCTCAAACCACCATTGAAATCGATTCACTCTATGAAGGCATCGATTTCTATTCCACTATTACAAGGGCAAGGTTCGAGGAGCTGAACATGGATTTGTTCAGGAAATGTATGGAACCCGTCGAGAAATGTCTTCGGGACTCGAAGCTCGACAAGAGTCATGTCCATGACGTTGTTCTTGTGGGTGGATCCACAAGGATTCCCAAAGTTCAGCAACTTCTGCAGGATTTCTTCAACGGGAAGGAGCTTTGCAAGAGCATAAACCCCGATGAGGCCGTCGCTTACGGCGCCGCTGTCCAGGCAGCTATTCTGTGCGGCGAAGGGAACGAAAAGGTCCAAGATTTACTTCTTCTCGATGTCACCCCTCTTAGCCTTGGGCTTGAAACCGCTGGTGGTGTAATGACTACTTTGATTCCGAGGAACACGACGATTCCCACCAAGAAAGAGCAGATTTTCTCCACTTATTCCGATAATCAGCCTGGGGTTTTGATTCAAGTCTACGAAGGTGAAAGGGCTCGAACCAAAGACAACAATTTGCTTGGCAAGTTCGAGCTATCGGGGATCCCACCGGCACCAAGAGGGGTGCCTCAAATCAATGTCTGTTTCGACATTGATGCGAATGGCATCTTGAACGTATCTGCCGAGGATAAGACTGCAGGAGTGAAGAACAAGATAACAATTACAAACGATAAGGGAAGGTTGAGCAAAGAAGAGATTGAAAGAATGGTCCAAGAGGCAGAGAGGTACAAGGCAGAGGATGAGGAGGTGAAGAAGAAGGTGGAGGCGAAGAATGGGCTCGAGAATTATGCTTACAACATGAGGAACACCGTGAAAGATGACAAGTTTGCTGGGAAACTCGACCCCGCAGACAAGCAAAAGATTGAGAAAGCCATTGATGAGTCAATTGAGTGGCTTGATGCCAACCAACTGGCTGAAGTGGATGAACTTGAAGATAAGTTGAAGGAATTGGAAGGGATCTGCAATCCAATTATTGCTAAGATGTATCAAGGTGGCGAGGGCAGAGATGTGCCGATGGGTGGCGGTGCTGAGATGCCTAGTGGCGGTGGCAGTGGAAGTGGTGCCGGACCCAAGATTGAGGAAGTGGATTAAATTAAAGTCTCATCAACTGGATTTGCATTGCCTTGGATATGAAGTTAGTTGTATCTATTTCCCATATATGTTGTTTCCCCTTGGTAGGGTTTGTACAATGTACTAGGACTGTTGAGTGAGATGCATAGATGAAAACTTTGTAGCGGTAAAACATGATGGATCATGCAATAAAAATTTGAATACTTTTAATCTTCCTTGCAAAAATAGATTGGAATAATAAGATGAAGGAAATAATAGCTGCTGAACAATTCAGGTCCATTTACATATGAACGTATATGCTTCGAGTAGGATATAGTTCCCAAAGCGCCGCTGTCGTGTCTTCTGTTGCAGAGACCATCAGATCGCAGTCGGTCGAATATGACACACAGTTGCACTGCGGCAGTAGATAATTTATTAATTATTGCAAGTGAACAAAAACAGATACAAGGGTGATACATATAGAGTAATAGATCAAGTACATCGAATGAGGACTTTCAGCGTGCCGTTGCATGGTGGTATTTCAGTATTGCCAAAGGACTTCCTTTGCGATAATTATATATTCCAACTCTGCTAACATGAAAGAAATAAAAAGGTAAGTCAACAGCAAGAACTACCAAAAAAAGATGTTCTTAAATAATTCTTTGTTAGTCGAAAATATGGAGAATTGAGTCGCTCACGATCTTGATGTTGTAAGTGATTAGATTTGCCCTATCTATCATCATGTTTCAAAATGTTCTCCAACTAGCTTCTTTTGCTTCTCCACATTTAAGGCATTATTTGATTATTGAACTTTATTTTTTTGTTAACCAGAGCTTCATGGGTTCTTGTGTAGGGTTCTTTCCTTTCATGTATCCATACTATTTTCTCTTATTGTAGGGTTCTTGTGTTGTTAAGAAAGAAATTAGTTTAGAACGGCCAGGTGTATCCAGCACCTCAATTCGTCGTGATTGTAAAATTGCTGCAACTGATGGCTGGGACCATAGGTTTGCGTATACTAGACAGTCGGATCTTCAAAAACAGTATGCTGTTAAACTTCATAGTTCATAGCATAGAAATTAGGCATTTATCAATAAAAAGATTAGCCAATCACGTTTAACTGTGATACTTAAACTGATTCGGGAAAGACCAATGAGCCAGAACATCGATACCATTTCCAATGAAGAATAATTATAAAGTGATCGATTACCTTGAGAGACCTCCCTCTTCCATATCCCAACATTTGACGGTTCTATCCCTTCTTTGACTACACATGTTACAGAGAAAGAAAAAAAACCATTTAGCTTATTATAATTCCAGAAACCATATATCTAAAAGTGGAAAACCACCTTATAACTTTGTTGTTCCCCAACAAAGAACTACAAGCGACAGCAATAATCCCATGTGCAGCACTATGAGCCCTATAAAGAAACAAAAAGCAATTAATCGGCCAAGAAAGGGAAAAAACTCAATGTTGTCGAAGAAACAGAGAGATACAAGGAAATGAGAAATGAAAAGAATGATACAAACCATGAAGATGATAACGTGCGATGTTGAACCGTATCCCAAATCCGCAACTCACCATCTGAAGAGCTGAAAAATAGAACAATCGTTTATTTTGTGCTGAAACAAAAATAAAAGGTTGATTAAAAAAGGAAAGTTAAGAAAAGAAGTTGAGGAGTTACCCGGCGAATAAAATGGGTCTCGAAGGATGGAAACAAGCATCGGAGACAGAAGCACAGTGACCTCTAAGCACAGCCACCGGGTCAGGCGGTGGTCTCTTGCTCTTAGAGCTCATTTCATTAATTTTGAGTCTTTTTTTTTTTTGGTGAAGAAAGAAAATAGCGTATTACATCAGAATAAGCCTAACTAGATAATATCCAGCAAACCATCATCTTTATTCAGCAAATACCAAAAGTTATCCCAAGGAAACTAGCTAAAATTTTAGTTTAGTATTAGACGATTCAGATTTTTTCGTTAATTACTCTTAGCGTTTAAATTAAACCCCAAGAGACACTTAATTTTATACTAAAAAAATACATAAATTTCAAATTAGTTTGGCATTTCTATGAACAAAAGAAATTAGCTTTGATAAAATCTTTCCAAATGCGGAGAGCAAAGCTTTTGCAAGTCAAGCTTTCACAGTTACGCAGTTGGGTGGAAAATGTTAAAAGGAATATATACTGAAAGAGTACATATATTTCATTCATCTAAAATAATGTTTACAAGGCAAAAGTATTTATATACAATCACACTAGTTACTAATCTAACTAACACACTAATATATTAATAATAAACTAACTGACTAAATAACTTACAGCTAATACTCTCCCTTAAGTTGGTGGTTAAAGATGTTAATTAACCCCAACTTGGAAATCAAATATCTATGTTGTTGAACTCTCAAGACTTTAGTTAAATGTCTATCTCCTGATCTATTGTCTTTACATGCTTGGTTTCAATCATTCTTTCTTGATTTTTTTCTCGAACAAAATGACAAACAATCTTTATGTGCTTTGTTCTCTCATGAAAAACTGAGTTTGTTGTTATTTGAAGAGCAACCTTATTGTCACACATCAGCTTTGTTGGTTCTATGTTTTTGAAACCAAGTTCACTCAATAAGCATGTCACCCAAACTATTTCCGCAACAGTTACTGTCATACTACGATATTCTGCCTCAGTTGATGATCTTGTAATTGTGTTTTGTTTCTTAGATTTCCAAGACAACAAAGAGTCTCCCAGTTTTATGCAAAAACCAGTCACTGATCTTCTGGTCATTGGGCAAGTTACCCAATCTGAGTCACAGAAAGCTTGAAGTTGGCACTGACTTGTTGAACTTAATAAAACTCCTTGAATTTAACTACCTTTAATATACCTAACCACCCTTAAGGCTGCCTCAAAATGTGATTTCTTTGGTTGCTGAATGAATTGGCTTAACAACTGCACTGAATAAGCAATGTTGGGTCTTCTGTTAGTAAGGTAAATTAGTTTCCCAATCAACCTTTGATAGCTTGATTTTTCTTTTAACAGTTCATCTTTTAAATTGTCAATTGGATCTTCTGAAGTCAACTTCTTATTATGTTCCAAAGGTGTTGCAGCAGGCCTAGCACCCCCTAGTCTAGTTTCTTCAATTAATTCCAAGGCATACTTCCTTTGATTTATGACTATCCATTTCACTTATCTCAATATTTCCAAACCAATGAAAAATCTTAGTTCACCAAGATCCTTCATTTTGAAATTTCTATTCAAAATTCCTTTGAGTTCCTCAATTAAACCATGTCATTTTCAGTTATTAGAAGATCATCCACATATATGAGCATTTTGATAATTTTGCTCTCTTGTGATTTAGTAAACATTGAATAGTTGAATTTGCTTTGAGAGTAACCTGCCAACAGTAATATGAAAACTGTTTTTTTTACCATAGTAGACTGCCTAGGAACAATATAAATCTTATTGGGCAAAGAATCATAAAAAATAAGAGGTTGAGTTTGAGCAGGAATTGGATCGAAAGAGAGATGGAACGAGATCAGAAGAGCAGTTGTTAAAGATTGAGGTGATGCAAACTAGTTTGAAGAAACATGAGGTATAAAAGAGGAAGAGGGATGCAAGGAAGATGCAAGCTGAGTAGAATTAAAAGGCATAATTAGAAAATCTGAATCATAAATATCTTGAACAGGAAAAAATGTGAAGAGGAAAAAGTAGGAAAATGAAAAGGGGAAATGTCTTCATGAAACTTCACATCTCGATTAACAAAAAATGTTTTTTTTATGAAGATTGAATAGTAGGTATTCATTTTGAGTTGCCGAATATCCCATGAAAATGGAAAGTATAGCTTTTGAAGAAAATTTTCCTTTGTAGTTTGGTTGAGTTGCATAGCATAAACAACCAAAAACCCTCATATGGGAAAGGTTAGGTGGCTTACCATGAAGGAGTTCAAAAGAACTTTGGTCAGCTAAAGAAAGAAGAAGGCAGCCTATTGATTATGTAACAAGCTGTGTTAACACACTCTCCCCAAAATTTAACAGGGACTTTAGAGTAAAATTTAAGGGCTCTAGCCACCTCTAGCAAGTGTTTATGTTTTCTTTCAGCAACAACATTTTGTTGAGGAGTATGAACACATGAATTTTAATGAATAATTCCCAATGAAGAGAAAAAAGAAGAACATTCATTGGCAAAGAATTCAGAACCATTGTCACTTATAATGAATTTGATTGTGACTGAAAAATGGTTTTTGACATAGGTAAAAAATTGTTTTAAAAAAATAATTGCATCACTCTTAAGCCTCAGTAAGAAAACCCAAGATATACTTGTACGGTCATCAACAATGGTGAGAAATGACCTATAACCACTATGGTTAGAGATCTTATAAGGCCCTCATAGGTCAATATGGATTGAATCAAAAGGTTTATATGCCCTAGAAGTACTGTGTGGAAAAGGTAGCCTAGACTGTTTAATAAGAGGGAAAACAGAGCACTTACGTATGCAGTCAGCATGAAACTTGTAAGACTATAAGTATGGTATTTTATGTAATTTGTATAAATAATAATGCCCTAATCGAGTATGCCAAAGCTTAGTATTATTAATATTTGAATGACTTATACAAGTTAAAGAATCAGAGGCTGAAGAACATTAAAAAAACATAATTACAATGAAAAGTAGAAGAAATACCACAACCAAAAGTATATGAATAAAAAAAATACAACCCTCGAGACTCTCTACCAATCCCCTTCATCCTTCTAGTGGAGAGATCCTGTAGAATGCAAAAATAAAGGTAAAAAGAAATACTGCAATTGAGTTCTTTGGTTAACTTGGAAATGGATAAGAGGTAATGAGAAAATTTAGGAACAAACAAAACATTGGTAATGAAATGATCCTGGTTAAGGCAAAAAAAATCTATGTGTGTGATAGGAGTTGTTTAGTCATTGGGTAAATGTACAAGCCTAGATTCTGATTTACACGAAATAGGAGAAATTAACCTTTGAAAATCAGATAACATATGGTTAGTGACCCCTGCATCCAATATCCAATTAAAAGAAATACTAGTCAAGCTAGTTTTAGCAGAAACAATACCTGCAAGGTTTACTGCTGAATCCACTTAAAGCTCATTGTTCAAGAGATCGAGAATTTGGTTGTATCAGGCATGTGTAAACACATGAGCAACAACATGAGAATTGGAAGCAGCAACCTGTTGTGGCTCAAGACTGGCTGATTGTGAGAACCAATAACAGGTCGATTATAAGCCAAAGCCATATGACTCCCTTTCTTCTTGGAAAATTTGAAATCAGTAGGAAAACATATTAATCTGTAGCAATTCTCACGCTTATGTCCTCGAATTTTACAATGATTACCCACACTGAAAAACTTCTTCCGATCACTGTTCCTAGAAGAATTGGAGTACATAACAGAGACATCAGAGATCGAAGAAAGACTAGAAGAATGAACACCCTATGATTCTTCTTGAACAAGCATTGAATACGCATGATTTATAGACGGCAATGGTTGCATAAGCAGTATCTGACTTCGCACAGCAACATACGTCTCCTTGAGACCCATGAGAAACTAAAACAATTTCTGTTGAGCGTGATGAACAGAGGTGCTTTCACAACCACAAGAAGAAATTGGAACTAAGGCTTCATACTCATCCTTAAGTAACTTTAAACGACTGAAATAAGTTGATATTGTGGAATCACCTTGAGTTAACAATGCAATTTCACAATGAAAGAAGAACATCCTAGATCCATCGATCTTATCAAATCTCTCCTTCAGGTCTTGTCAAAGCAAAGCAGCACTGGAGGTGAAAACAATACCAGCCTTACTCACGTATTGAGAATCCAAGATAACACAAGAGCATTGCATCTCTCCTATTGTGAATACAAGAGTTCGTTAATTTTTTTTATTTCTGACAATCACCAGTAACAAAACCTAACTTGTTTTTTTCGCAAGCAAGGTAATCTTCATAGATCTACTTCATACACCATATTTCTTGATGCCAAGAAGTTGATGCGAAACGAGAAGACACTCAGGTGCATCAGAAGCAAGCAAAAACAAAAGGTGATTGAAATCAAGCACGGAAGTTTCCATAGCAAAAAATGAAAGAGGAAAAAGAGGGAAGAAAAACCTTAATCAATTTTGACCGAGTGTTGAACACAACAAAGAGAAACAAATTCACGGGAAACGGATCGTATGACTCATGATACCATGTTAAAAGGAATATTTACTGAAAGAGTACTTCATATATTTCATTCATCTAAAATAATGTTTACAAAGCTAAAGTATTTATATACAATCACACTAGATGTTGCTAATCTAACTAACACACTAACAGATTAATAACAACCTAACTGACTAAATAACTAAGAGCTAAGATAGAAGAATTCTTAAGCTTAGAGAAACTGCATAGAATCTATTATTCTCCCAAACACAACGATGAATACGAGAGATGGGTTGTACACTTGCAATAAGATTATATGCAATATACATAGTCAAAAATGAGAGAAAATACAAGGAATCATGCCAGAGGTTGGGATACTGGGAGGACGTTCCTTCACGAAACCTTAATAGGAGAATGCTTCAAACTTCGTTGCAGTAGCAAATTTCATGTCAGTTTAGGTGGCTAAAACTTTGCATTAAAAAATATTTCGTCTTTCTGTTAATGTATCTCCTTTCTATTATCTAAAGTCTCTATATCTGTTAATTTTCTCTTGCCTTCTTTCTTAGCCACAATTCATCGAACACTTGGTTAGCATCAGAAAACAGTAACAACAGTCTTTCACCGCCTGTGACGAGGCGAAAGCTTGATCATGGAGAGGAGAGAAGAAAGCTTTTATTTTTTATTTTTGGTAGAAGAAAGCTTCTATTCAGTTTCTTTTCCTGAACTTGCAACTGGCATGGGTAATCACGGTTTCTTTTACCAGTTGTGGTTTTTTCCAACGGTTGAGCTTGTAGAACTTTTCCTAACAGTTGATTTTCATTAGGCCTCATGGGAACCCACATTAAGGGCTCCTTTTAGAATTTTTCGAGTTGAGCCCAATAAGAGAAGAGCCTAGTTATTTGAGGAAAGCCCAATTTTCAATTATTTGAAGTTGTCCATGTTTCACTACTTCTTCTAGGAACAAACCCTTCAAATATAGCTCTCTCCAAACAAGAGTTTGGAAAGTAAAAGTCGGAGGTTGTTAATATTCCCAGATTCGATTCATACTCCCATCGAGAAAGAAAAATGGCTTCAACATTTAGCGGCGATGAAACTGCTCCTTTCTTCGGTTTCTTGGGTGCCGTTGCTGTTGAGGAATATAGCTATCGAATAGAATCATAACTGATAATTTGAAAAAATAAAAATGAAGATAAAGAAGTCACAAAATTTACGTGAAAACCCCTTAAATAATATAGGAATTACAATTTCTCTCGATCTAATAAGGATAAAACAATGATAATTCTCTCTTGATAAAAATGAGAAAACAACTCTCAAGAAAACTCTCTAAATTCTCTAGTATTGGGAGAAAGCTAGAATGATTGGGATGATTTTGAAACTAAATGAGTTAGGATATTTATAGTTGAAGCTTAAGAATTAATCTTATAAATATCCTAAAGTATAATGATTAAATTATATAAATTTACCCTCCATTTTTCAACAATTGTGGGTGGAATTATTTTTTTCAAATCACCTTTCGGTGGATTTGTTTTTTCCACCTTTTCGGTGGATAGTCCACAGCTACTGCCCTCATTTTCTCCTGTAAGAAATTTAGATAATCGGTCTTTCGTTAAAAAGATGACCTTTTTCTTCTCTCTTTTATATCTGAGGATCGACGGAGGTTTGGGTTTTGATCGGATGTTTCGCAGGTATGGGAACCACTTATGGGACCACAAAAAGTGGTTGGTGTGGCATCGATGGGTATGATGAGACTAGAGCTGGTGATGAATTCGATCGTCCCCGTGGTTATGGCTGGTGTGCTCGGTATTTATGGCTTTTATTACAGTAATCATTAGTACCAGAATTAACCCAAAGGCTAACTCTTATTACCTTTTCGATGGATACGCCCATCTCTCTTCTGGTCTCGCTTGTGGACTTGCCGGTCTTTCAGCTGGTATGGCTATTGGGATCGTTGGTGATGTGGTGTTAGGTAATGCTTTTTGTCACGGACCAAAACCCACCACCGAGGTTAGCCCGTGAGAAGTAGCCCAAATGGGGGTTTGGACCTTCTAGAAGCCACAAAGACTTAGGTGGCATTTAAATTTGTATAGATAATGCCCACTTGTTTTTGGTAGGTAAAGATTAATCTCGATCGTCGATGTAATTAGATCTTAGCCGTTCATTGAGGGGAGCTTTAGCTATAAATAGAGGCCTCCCCTCCTCATTTGTACTCACTCCTTCACTTTGAGAAATCATAAGAGCATTCTTCTCTCAAAGCTTTCTTATCTTCCTTCTTGTGCTAGTTCTCTTGTCTAGCTTCCGTCGAGGTTCTAAGCATCCTTGCTTAGGATATTTTCAGGCTTACTTAGCCGCGATCACTAAGAAAGCGACTAAGGCCACACGTTCCGAGGCGTCGAAGTTCCAAGGGCGTGACAAGTGGTATCAGAGCTAGTTCTACGAGAAATGGCACAACACAACTAAGACGAGGTCCCCACAAGCGAAGTGATGGAGACTCGCGCTGCAGTGGCAAAGAAACGAGGGAGCTCGAAGGATATCGTGGCCTCGTTTGAGCAAAGGGTCGGTAGATTAGAAGACCGATATAATGAAGTCCAACAGACTCAAGACTCGGTTGAATCTCGCTTAGAGAAGGTGGAGTCCGTAGAGATGTACTCCGTGAAGAAACCCAACCACTCATCAACGAGTTGACGGAGAACGTAGACGCCCGTACCAGAGGCCTCGAGAGCATGTACTTGGCCATGAGGGCCGAAATAATACGGGAGGTAAAGGAGCTCAAGAGTGAGCTGCTCGTCTACAAGGCTGCCGTGTTTAATGGAGTGACTGGGGAGGCGCAAGCATCAAGACCCAGGATCGACGTCCCTAAGCCAAAGGAGTTCAAGAGGAGTCGGACTGCCCAAGATGTGGAGAATTTCATCTGGGGCATGGAGCAATTCTTTCGTGGCATGGGTATGGGGGATGATACCACCATGGTAAATGTTGCTTCCAATTATCTTACCGATGTTGCTATGTTATGGTGGCGTCGTAGGTGTTCCGAGATTACAAAACCAATCGGGACGTGGGAGGAGTTCGTGGGAGAACTCAAGGAGCATTTCTATCCGAAGAATGATGTGCTCGAGGCTCGAGCAAAATTGAAACAATTAAAGCATGACCGATCCATCTTGGAGTATGTCAAAAACTTCACAGAGATCAAGATGTAAATCCCGGACTTGGGCGAGTCCGAAGGTTACTTTGCATTCATGGATGGACTACAACGTTGGGCCAACATGGAGATCCAAAGGAGGGGAGTGACCGAACTCTCCAAGGCATTATATACAGCCGAGGCTATTACCCCGTTTGAAGTAAAAAGGACCGACTCTCTCAAATCCAGATCGAAACCCAAAGGTAATAGTGGGGAAGAAAAGGCCAAAGGAAACTTTCACAAGCCAACGGGAAATCATGGGAAGCCCAATGATCGACCCAAAAAGCTCTTCAATCCTTGGGAGAAGAAGGGGGAATTATCATGCTTTTCTTGTGGAGGAAATCATATGAAACGAGATTGTCCTCAACTTGTGAAAGTTGCTGCCATCAAGGAGAATGATGGGGTGGAGAGTGAGACTCTCAAACTTGGCTCCATCCTTAGCACCATGGAGGTAAAGAAGGGCCGCAAGAAGAAGGGATTGATGTACGTAGACATCACCGTCGTAGGCCAAAAGATGAGCGCACTAGTGGACACAGGTGCCTCAGAATTGTTCATGTACGAACAAATTGCCAAGAGACTTGGCCTTCATGTGGAGAAGGCAACGGGATCCATCAAAACCGTGAATGCCAGGAAGTTCCAATTGCGGGGGTCGCAAAGGAATCGAGCTAACCGTCGGAGGTTGGTCCGGAAAGGAAGCCATCAAGGTAATTCCTCTCGATGACTTCGACTTTGTTCTTGGGTTAAGTTTTTTGGATCGAATAAATGCTTTCCCAGTGCCTTTTGCCGATTGCTTGTGCATCCTGGATCCAAAGCAACAATGTATTGTTCCAGTGAGCCGAGGGCCTGGAATCGAGGCCAAGATATTGTTCACAATCTAATTCTCAAAGGGGGTGCGCAAGGAGGAACCCATCTTTGTGGCTTCATTGTTGGAAACTGAACCCACAATAACCGAAGAAGTCCCAAGAGAAGTGGGACAAGTATTGGCGGAATTCAAAGATGTGATGCCTGCCGAGTTACCCAAGAAGTTACCTCCAAAGAGGGAGGTGGATCACAAGATTGAATTGGTGGAGAATGCAAAGCCACCCGCTCGGGCCCCTTACCGAATGGCTCTGCCCGAATTAGAGGATATGCGCAGACAATTGAAGGATCTCCTCGATGCCGGATACATCCGACCATCCAAGTCCCCCTATGGTGCACCGGTGCTATTTCAAAAGAAGCACGATGGTTCTCTACATGTGCATAGATTATCGAGCTTTAAATAAGCTCACAGTAAAGAACAAGTATCCCATTCCCCTCATTGCGGACTTATTCGATCAGCTTGGTGGTGCAAGGTGGTTCTCCAAACTAGATTTATGATCGGGCTATTACCAAGTCAGGATAGTGAAATGCGATGAACCAGAGACTGCTTGCGTGACACGCTACGGTTCATATGAGTTCCTTGTGATGCCCTTCGGCCTCACCAATGTTCCTGCAACCTTTTGTACTTTAATGAACAAGGTACTACAACCCTTTCTTGATCGTTTTGTTGTAGTTTACCTTGATGACATCGTTGTGTATAGTAAGACATTGGAAGAACACATTGAACACTTGAGAAGGGTGTTCCAAGTCTTACGAGAGAACGAGCTTTATGTCAAGGAGGAAAAATGCTCGTTTGCACAAAAGGAAGTGCCGTTCCTAGGCCATATTATTGGAGGAGGCAAGCTCCAGATGGACAAGGGCAAGATTCGGGCAATTGACGAGTGGAAGCCACCCACCAAGGTAACCGAACTGAGAGCATTCTTGGGATTAGCCAACTATAACCGATGATTCGTGAAAGGCTATTCAAAGATTGCCACACCCTTGACAGAGCTACTCAAAAAGGACAAGGTGTGGGAATGGAGCACGCCATGCCACAACGCTTTTGAAAAGCTCAAGGAGGCCATGGCGAGTGAGCCCGTGTTGGTGTTGCCATACTACACCAAGCCTTTTTTAGTCTACACTGATGCATCCGATGTTGCCATTGGTGGAGTCCTCATGCAAGAGGGACATCCAGTTACATACGAGAGCCGAAAGCTCAACGAGACCGAGAGGAGGTACTCGGT